AAATAAAAAAAAAAATTGTATTCCTTTATTTTAATATTTTAGTATTTAAAAAAATATTTTTTTATGAAAATTATGTGAATATTTGTAAAAAAAATGAGTTTCATGAATTTTTTTTCAATAAATATATTTTGAAATACCGAAAATATAAATAAGATTTTTTTATTTCGAATTTATAAAATATTAACTTTGGAAATAATATATATACATGTGGTAATTATTAAATGATTGTGTAAATGTAAAATAGGAAAGAACTTAAAAATATCCCTAAATAAAAATGCCACCTAATCAATTGAAGAATCCACCTCATCAATTGAATTCCAACTAAGCAATTTTGACAAATGACATCATCATTTGCCACATGTCAATCATTGAGGGCATAGATCCTCTTTTTATATTATATATAGATGAAATAATGTAATTAGAGTACTGTGTTCATTTATTTTTGTGTTTCAATGGTCCTCTTGGAATTGTTCCCAAAATTTCGGCCTCAAACTTTCTGTACATTCTCTTCGTCCACCGGTTTGTTTTGTAAGCAAGATTGTCGACTTCATCCTCGTATTGCTCGTATAGGTATGGAACAGTTTCTAAGCACACAAGTCCTAACGTACAAGTCAGCACGTGCGCATTTGAATAATTTGAGCATACAAATTTGATCGAATAAAATTATTTTTATTAGTATATATATATATATATATATATATATATATATATATATATATATATATATATATATATATATATATATACATATATATATACTCACCGAAGAACGCTACTGATAGAGCTTCCAATAACCGAGATTATCCAAAGAGAAACAATCGTCTGCAAAACAAAATCCCAAATTGAAGAAAACAAAATGAACAACATTATATTTCTTCGACATGCATGAATAAAAGAAAAGTTTGATTTTGTGTACCAGTAAAAAGAGTTTAGGATCGTATCCACTTGCGACATACAAAACGTTCGAGAAAATATAATTTAATTTTCTGTGCAAGGTTAATGCAAACTCTCTGTAAGTTGAATCTTGTAACATGATGCTGGGAATATTGGGAGGACTCCTGCAATTAATATAATTAATTGTTGTATGATTTGATTTTTGGTAATTAGCTTGATTTAATTAATTAATTAAAATATTAATTAATGTTACCAGTTGAATGATTGGGCAGCAGAAGACCAAATGAAGATGATAAGCATTGTGGTGATGGTAAGATGGCAGAGTAGAGTTACCAAATTGTATTTTACAACTTCAAATAGAAACCATATTGCTGCAATCCCTATTAAAATTGCACCCGAAACTTTCGCGTCTTTCCACAGCACCACGTTAGCTACTGTTATTTTATGAATGACAGTTTTAGAATAATATATATTGGAGATGTTAGTATTAAATGATACATTTCACTAATATATGACTAATATATGGTTAATATATACACCGTCTATATAGTAATACTATACCAATATAAGATTGTATAGCTTATATATTGATTTTTTTTTTTTGAATTTACTATGTAGATAGATTATATACTAACAAAGTTGAACATAGTTTTTTTTTTTTTTTTTTTTAAATTGAAAAATGAAGTCAGGTTTGATGTTGTCAATGTGAGCAAGTGAATGGAAAAAATAAATAAATATAATTAGGAATACCTTTTCCTCCACCTAGAACAGCATGTATTGGCCTTTGCCTGCCAAACAGTCTTGTAGGAGTATCCATAAATATAATGCTAAGTTTTTGGTGATGATAACAAATTGAATGGGTTAAATATATACATACAATAATAGAGCATATTTTAGAACCTTGGTCCCAAAGGAAGTTAGTTATTCCAACTTTGGTCAAGAAAGGTATGTATGCCTTGACCATGAAATTGTCCAATTAAACTTCTTCTGCATCACTTCATTCCATTTTTTTTTTTATCATCTTTTGGTTTTCATCTAAACTAACTTTTATTATTTTGTATTTATTAGGGTATAGAATATTGATAGTAACATTTTCAAGAATTGTTAAACACGGTCATTAGATGAGTTTTTAGTATGGTATACTGTATGTTGGTAGAATATTTTATTTACCTAACAAAATGGTCAAATATATGCCTAATTGAGGGGTCTAGCTCTAATTACACCTAACCTCAGGGAGGTAGGTTTAATTTTTCTCTTGTTTGTACCGATTTTTTGTTCGGTTCGGTTGATTAACACCCCTATGTAAATTTGACAACGTAAGGTGACGTAATTATTACATGAATGTCAATCAAATCCTTATTCTGCTTCCAGAATGTGCATTGTATTCTTCCAATAGAATTTGCTTATGCATGCGGCTATATGCAATACTAATTCCACTTGTACAAAACCAAATTAAAGAAAAATTTCAAAAGATTCTATTTTATTAAGATGAAATGACAAATATACTCATAAATTAAATTGAGTTTCTTTTCTCATGCAAGACCAAATACAAATAATGAGGAAAAAAAATGCGTGAATTAAAAAAACAAACAGCCCCCCTAAACCCTACATACGCCCACCTTCTCCACCTACGCCCATCTTCACCGTCGTCAAAGCTCTGCCACCCAAGCTCCACCACCTACGCCCACCTTCCTCATTTTGTTAAACCTTACAAAAAAAGAGGGAAAACAAATTAAATTTGAAACTGGTAAAAATCGACACCAAGGGAGAAATGTCTTGTGGGTTTTGGAAGATGGAGAAGATGAGAGTTGGTCTTGTGGTCTTGTGATAGGATTTTTTGTGTTTTTGAATTTTTGGTCTTGTTAACAAGTAAGAATATTATAGTATTTATACATTGAAAATTTAATTTGATCTTGCACAAGTAGTTTTAGTCTTGCATATAGCCGCAACCTTTGCTTATTCTTCTATAAAGTTAGTTTTATGTTAACTTAAAGGTAATTTAACATGATTTTAGTAGGATCATAAATCAGTCTGTCTGATATTTACCTGAAATGAGAGGGAATTTAAAGGCAGTCCCATGCAAATAAAAACAGAAGAACGAATTGATACAGATATAATATAGAGATAGCCCATGTTCGACACAAACACAACGAAGGAGGAAGAAGACTCCAAGAATTTGGCATCTCACAACTCATAAAAATTAAGGAACCAGAAATTGATAGTTTACATAAAGAATGTATGTATGTATATATAAAAATTATATATAACAGTCATCGGTCGGACATTATTCTCACAAATGAAGAAGGTCAGATATCTGGTTCCAGCCAACAAACCAATGCCTCTTGTCGGATGGAAGTACGAAATTAAGCTCAAACATCTCTTTGGACATATTTCCGCCTTCACAGAAACCGACAAGCTTAGCCACTATCTCCGCACTCTCTCTAACATGCCTCTCGTCGTGCGGATTGGTCCAAAGCTTGTTCATGAACTGCATCCTTCTTTGTTTTCCTTCCAATGGCACTTCCCATTTCATGTATAACGCGTCTCTTTCCTCTGCCGTCATACGCGTACTCAACCTCTTCGCAAGAAACTCTCTTTCCCGCTTCAGTGCTCTGATACTGAATCAAAAGTGGTTACAGAGTAAATATCTTGATGATATTTGATTAAAACTATATTTAAAGATATTGAAAGAAGAGAGGAAAAAAAAAGAACCTTGAAGATAAAGAGATAGTGGGCTCATTTCCCATATGAGAAGGAGCTGGACTTGCATTTCCAATCTCTACGAGATGCTGCTGCAGCCATGCTAAGCGTCTAAGCTCAACTTCCACGTATATCTGATCGGCAGTGTCACCTTTGAATAGGAGATAAAATTGCGACCTATGAATGATTGACACATGGCAAACATCCCATAACTCAATGATTTGCTGCCTTTGCTCCATAAAGGACACATGCCATTGAGCTGGTGACTCTTCTTCTTGTATCACACAATCATTCATATCACCCTCCAAATTGTGTCCAGCGGCTTCATTTGCTTCAAGCTCGAGCACCTAAAAAGGTAATGGATTCCAATTAGAGCAGAAAAATGGAATTTTCATTCAAAAAAAAGCTACTATCATTTTTTTTTACCTGGCATACAAGAAGCTGTTTCTGGTACTGCAGTTTGGCAACACGTTCTTTAAGCTCAGTTACGTAGGCTTTTATGCTTCTCACATTTTCTTCTGCTGCGTTTTGAAACATCCGCTGCATTTTCCTCATATTTACTGAACTTGAACGTCGATACGGAGTATTTTCCTTGGAAGACGCATCTCCACCTTCGCTTTTTGTGGGAGTATCTTTATCAGAAACTGCATTAGTTTCTGCAGATGCAGCAGAGTCGTCAAAATCTGGAGCTCTGTTTTCGATGTCATCAGTGTTTAATACTTGCCTTGAAGCAGATAAAGGTGAACATGGAGATTTTATGAAGTTGTGCCTATTGAGACCATTACTCGAAGCCAACGGAAGCAGTTTCTTCTTTTTCGCCCAACTCTTGGGCTTTGGATTATTTGCATCTTTACAAGGTTGTTGTTGATCAGCGTTGGTTGGAAGAGACATGGCCAATTTCTCTATTGACTTCTGAACGTTTTCGAGCTTTTCCTCTAAATCTGCGATTGTGCTTCCTTGTGAGTGAAGTCTGGTTATCTCATCCTTGAGATTTGCACTGACACTCTTGTTAACAGAGACGGCATTTCCAACTTGTAATAAATCTTTGGGAGAAAGTTCAATAGCACGCATATCCTTTATTTCGGCTTGCAGCTTAGCGATAGTCTCTGCTGCATCTTGGTTACCTTGTCTGTGACATGCAACCTCCTTTTGTAGTACCTCAAGGGCTCTATTAGCTTCTTCGCCTAATTGCTCCTGAAGATGCTCCAGTTTCCGAATTTCATGCATCAGAGTGAAAGGAGCTGTTGATGATTGCCTCATTGTTGTCTGCTTTCTTCCCGTATTTTTTAGGTCCATGCCGTCGTGTTTTGGTAACACAACTGTTGAAAATGAGAGGCACTTCTTTGCCATAGGAGTAGGTGACTCCGATATTTTCACCCTCTGCATTATCCCCCGTAGAGAATTAATATCAAATTTCTATACTATAATGTTAAAGATGAGAATATTTGTTTCATTCATCTATAAAAACAACATACCTGCTCCTCCTCAAGTTTACTACGCAAAGCTTCCACCTCGGACTGTGCTTGATCTCTTTGCCGCCTGAGTTCTTCCATTTCCCTCTCCATCTAACCACATGCAAGTTTTTATATATAGTAAGAAGAAATTCAATCAAATAAGTAGAGAAACTCGAGTTATGACAAAAATGCTAACCTGTCGAATTTTTGCTTCTTTCTCACTAGATGGGTCTGGGGTGCGTAGCACGGCTTCCAGTCTTGCTACTTCCTTCTGCAAATGCTTCACAAGCTGTTTTTCTGAAATTACCTGGTGAAAACAAAATTATGAATCAGTTGGTGTCTATCTTTGGGGTTAATAGCATATGACAGTTGAAAAAAGTACCATGTTAACTTGAGCATTGTTTGTCACTTCCTTTGCTCGGGTAGCAAAGAAGAGAGTATTGCGAGATTGTTCAGCATGACATGATGCTGGACTCAAAGTACATATAATGGCAGTACGTGCATTTCCTCCCAACGAATGCTGCAATATTCTTGTCAGCTTTGAATCACGGTACGGTATGTGACCACTTCTTTTTCCGACGCTGAAGAGGACAATGTAAAGAAACTCTGTTATTATTCAGTATAAGTTGCCTAGAGATTCAACTTTTGTTCAAAACTTAAAGAAAAAACGAGTCAGCTTTAATGTATACATAATCAACATCCACCTTCATACTTCAGCAATTTAAAGTTGGAGAATTACTACGGTAAAAATGAATGGTAATGCTGACCTTAGCTTTCTAATTACTGTTGTAAGTGTCATTAAGCTGAGGTTAATATGACAGCCTTCCCTAAGCCTGGCACCCTCTGCATTTGTCTGAGAGGCCCTTTCACTTCCAGCTAAATCGACAAAATTCTGCATAACAAAAGTATGTGTGAGGAAAAATCGCATGGCTATTTATGTTCCATTCCAATTTAGAAGTTTCAAGAAATCAGATGATTGATTTTACCAAGCTTGCGACATATGATCTCACACAATCTGAGTTTTCTCGAAGAGTACTTTCAATTGTCTGCATTAGACAACCAAAACAACTTCAATTAGGAAACAAATTATTCATTCTAAATATTTCTCCTCTAATCCATGAAAATATGACAAAAGAAAACAGACCAGTCGTATTATTTGGTGCGATCTCGAGCTAGTATCGTTAAGGGCAGTTTCACCTACTTGCCTTTGAGCTGCAAAAGTATAGTATTCATTAATACATTTATCTATATGGAAATACTGCATGCTGAAAGAGCTTCAATTCTTTACCATCACAGATCTGGATTAAATTTCGTAAGTGTTGATCATCCTTTGCTGTCTCTTCCACCAACTTCTCGACCACAGTTCCTTTCTGAAAATAAATTAATTAATGTCAAATGCGGTGAAGAAGGCAAACAAAGGTCAAGGAGTTTGTAAAAAAGGTCAAGAGTTTGTCACCTCTGGATCGTCCAGGAGTTTAAGACTACGCCCAGATTCTGAATTGAGTAGATCCCTTACATTCTCGTTGTAGATTTCAAGGCCAGATATCCTTATTTTAAAGTCTCGTTCCGGAGTCTGTTATGTAGATGGAATTACAACAAGTTAGAAGAGTACTCTATACTCTGATTGGAGTGTGTATGATGAGAATGTCTAATGTCACCAACATATTTGATTTAAAGAGATAAGTCAGTAAGAAAATAATTTATCTCATCGGTGACTGTATTATATCACAAAATTGTGAACGAGAAAAAAATAGGCATTAATGTAATACTAGTGGTGAAAAGAATTCAGACGAAGCTTACATTAATTATATGCATGTAAATGTCATTAACAGCTTTCTCCGTAATTCCTCTCATCGTGTAAGTTTTCCCACTGCTAGTTTGTCCGTACGCAAAAATGGTTGCTGCAAAAGATATGTCCACATAGAAAACAATCTTGAGAATACATAATTTGTTTAGAAAAGTTTAAAAATAATAACTAGAGCAATTGAGGACAAGAGTTACCATTGATTCCCATGAGAGCAGATAAGGCTACAGTCTTCACTCCATCCTCGTACACAATTTCATTTGAGCAATCAGGACCAAACACTTTATCTGAGAAAAGACCCATCCATTTTGGCAATTTAATTAGTATTTTAATTAAAACAACACATAAATATAGATTTAAGTTGCTGTTTTTTTACAATTTAGAATTACCAAACATGAAAGAGGTTGGTTGAGGTGCACGGTCGTGGGTGTTGAGTCTGTTGACGATGGTATGATCATCGGTGCATTCCCAAGCCATTTGCTCTTTAGATGATTGCTCCCTTTTGTTTAAAGGCCTTAAACGTATTGTCACCACTATTTTCTCTTCCCTTGCTCTGTTCCCACCTGGAGTTGTTACCGGGGTGTTGGTGTTTCCCCTCTCCATTTTTGAACTCGGAGTTCTTACTGTCATCTTCTCCATTTCTTTTGATACAGCACCAATTCACTTTTCACGGCCACCAGCCCCAATTTTATCACCAGATTTTCTGTTCAAATCATGAAAACCTCCAAAGAGTTAACAGATTGCCCCCAAATGTGAAACAAATTGACCCGGTAGCCTAAAATCATCAACGAAGCTTCCTTACGGCCCCGATACCCAAATTAATTATCTAAATAAAATGTATTCAAAATGATTTGCATTCAACGATTCCAGATTAGAAGCTAAGTTGTGCGAAAATTAAAATATTAAAAATTTTCAATTTTTCAAGGCGATTAGACAGCTACGCCACTGGATCAAAAAAAAAAAAGACAGCTAAACCACCTGAGTACCGCAGAGAGTGCAGCTTTGGAAAAACAAAAACGAAAGTACATTGTGCTTCAGCTATTGTACCTCAATAATGAAAATGAAGATTTGTCTGTGAAGTTCTTAACACGACAGAGTGAATTTTAACACAATTATGGAAATTAACAAAACAAAATCAGATAATTGAAGCAATTTACCTGAGAATCGGAGCAAAATGGATTTTTTTTTATCAGATCTAGGCAAATCAGAGAGAGAGAGCGGGGGAGAGATGGAAATGGAAAGCAGTAATAATATGGTTAATTTGTGTGAGAGAGGATTTGGAGTTTTGAATTTTTGAGGTGCAACGGCTAGTTTCAATATATCGTGGACCGTTGTTCCGTATCGTTAATGTATCGCCCGGACAGTAGACGCTGCGCTCAATATCTGTAGCCACTTTAAGGGGGGCCCATTCTATTTGGATTTGTTCGATGCTACACCCGGTGAAAACACCGGGTGGTCTTCTGCTGCCACGTGTCTCTTTTTTGTATTTTATAATAGATTCCCCGCTAGGGTTTACCTTTAGGGGTCTTAGAAAAATAAAAAAAA